ATCCCTAGCAAATTGCCTGTGATACACACCACATTGCGATCTAATGTTTATTCAATAACACGATGGTTTTCTTTCACTTCTCCCTTTGTTTTTCTGGGTTGGGAGGGGATTTTGTTTTTAATTTTAATTCCCCAGCAGCTCCTATAGGGCAGAGAGAGATGAACTCTACACCGTTTTACTTTCTGTGGGAATGGCTTCAGGTCTCTGTCAGCAAGAGGGAGTAGTAGTGGGGCGGGGGGCAGGTGGGGGGAAGTATGTTTCTCTAGCAGTTTCCCTCCAAGCAACGCTGGAGAAGGAATGAGACACGTGAAGGGCTCTTACCTCCTGGAATAATGCTTCACAAATAATAAAATAGTATAATAATAATAAGGGCTCTTTGCTAATACACAGGAACCCATTGGAAAGTGAGGTCAAACCACTTTATACAACGGACCCTTGTTTGTTGAGCATAAGAATGCTACTAACTAAATAATCGCCAGTCTGCTTAGCAAAACACTGCTCCTTTTCCAACAGATCCCTCTTGGAATTATAATTATCAAAATAAATTTGAAAGGATAATACCAATGTTTTAAGCTAGACTACAGTCTTAAGTGACATCTTTTGAGTGCATCCCATATGTCAGGCAGCTAAGTATTTGCACCTGCTGTTTTACTTAATTCTCACAACCACCTTATAGAGAATTATTATTTTCCATTTTGTTCTGATGAGGAAACAGGCCCAGAGAGCTGAAACATACACGGCTATGAAGAATGGGACAGTGACTAACAAGTTCAACTTCTCGTTCTTCTGGGGTAAAGTAAATATATAAGATATTATGTTTTGTTCTGTTCAAAAACGATACCGATTTTGGGATGAGAGGATGGAACATTTCACATGTGGAGAAGCTGAAGATAAACATAGGGACTCTGTTTTCCTTAAAGTGCTGAAGGGAAATCTATCTTGGGAATGGGTTTCAGCTTACCCTGCTCACCTTTGAGACAGATTCTCTGGAGGGAGGAAGCCGCCCCTCCCAGCGCAGGCCCAGTTCTGATCTCCCTGAAATGCTCCTTTGGTTCAAAATCCCTTCCTCCCCCATAGTTGCTTAAGCTCCTTTATCTGCTTTCAGTATGTGCACAGATGTTGGGAACTTGTTCCTCAGCCTTTCATCTTTCCATCCAGTGACTCTTAGCACTTTCCAAATGATTTGTTCCCAGGCCTTCTTTCCATGGAGATGACCACCCCCATGGTCACGTGAAACGCCCCTGGTGCATTGGAAGGGTGCATAATTTCTGGAAAGTAATTTTTCTACCTCGTCTTTAACTTTGGGGCAGGGCCTTGTAAATAAGAGTTTTGAGACAAGATTTTTTTTTTTTAAGACATCCACACTTTGATCTATTGAAGTTCAGATCATTTAAAAGTAGATCATGTCTGGGGGCTCCTGGAGGGAGGGAGCACCCTTGGCACCTGTTCTTTGGTTTCTTTCCCAAGTTTCCAGTAACTCAGCTCTTCCAGCCATGTCTCAACCTCCTCCTTCCCTCTACTGAGGCAAAGCCTGAGTCCCCAGAAGAGAATGCATGCCTGGGAATGGAGTTTCAAGAGTTCTGCAAGAATCACAATCCCCAAAAGGTGGAAACAACCCAAATGTCTGTTGATGGATGAAATCAACAAATTATGGTATGTCCATTCAATGGAATATTGTTCAGCCATGAAAAGGGATAAAGTACTGAAACATGCTACAGCTTCAACGAACCTTGAAAGTGTTAAGTGAAAGAAGCCAGCCACAAAATGCCACTTATTGTATGATTCCATTTACATGAAATACCCAGAATAGTTAAACTCATGGAGAGAGAATGCAGATTGGTGATTGCTAGGGGTTGGAGAGAGAGGGGAAATGGGGAGTGACCACTAAATGGGTATAGGGTTTCTTTTTGGGGTGACGAAAATATTTTGGAACTCGGTAGTGGTGATAGTTGCACAACATTGTGAGTGTATTCAATGCCACTAAATTGTACGTTTTTGTTTTGTTTTTGGCAGCTGGCCAGTATTGTACATTTTTTGTTCTTTCTGCACACTGATAAATTGCACATTTAAAAATTGTTAATTTTAGCTTATGTAAATTTCACAATAATAATAATAATAATAATAATAATAATAATAATGATAAAAAGAGTCAGAGAGAATTCCTCAGCTGTGGTGGACCCTTCACTCCAGGCTTGGCTCCTTGGATCTGGGAAAACTGCCAAGGTACAAACCTGACCCTTCCCAGGCAGGTGGTGAACTGGTTCTAATGGCACTTTGGTCAAAGTCAGAGATCAAGGTCAGAAGCCTGAGTCCTTAGTTTGGGGTTTTAGGCTGAAATCCCTCCCTGACCATCATTCATTTGCTGCCCAAAGGTCTTGGTCCCTCTGCAGGGAAGGAAGGAAAGGCTGAGAGGTGGCTTTGGCCACTTGGGGAAGGCAGCTCAGCCCCACCTGAGTCCCTTTCAGAACAACTGAGGACTGGATTTAGGGCCTAGGGATCAGAACCAGGTGGGCTCCGATTTCTACGGGGCACTCTTGGTTCACAAAAAAAGGATGAGGAGAGAAGCTGTGGACAAAATGCATATGGGGCGTGGGGACCCTGGGATGCAGGAGCTGTCCCCGAGGGCTGACTCACTCCTCTCAGAGCCCCTCCTGGCATATTAGTTATGAAATGACAGCATTTCCCCTGGAAGAAGGACAACTACTCATTCAGCTTTCACTGCAGTCTGAGAGGCAGGGGTTACAGGTCCCCATTGCACAGCTGAGGATAACAAGGCTCAGAGAAAGGTGCAGAGAGGCCCAGAGAGAGGCGAAATGGGGCTGAAGTCACCCCGTCCAAATTCATGTTGCTTAATCCCCAGTGTGACGTTATATGGAGGTGGGGCCCGTGAGTCGGTCATGAGGTTGGAGCCCTCACGGATGGGATTAGTGCCCTTGTAAAAGAGGCCCTGGAGAGTTCTATCACCTTGTGAGGACACAGGGAGAAGACAGTGGTCTATGAACCAGCAAGTGGGCCCTCGCCAAACACCAAATCTACTGGTGTCTTGATCTTGAACTTTCCAGCCTCTAGAACTGTGAGAAATAAATTTCTGTTGTTTATAAGCCACCCAATTTATGATATTTTGTTCTAGCAGCCTCAATGGACCAAGACCACTGCAAATATAAGCCAAAGGAAGCTAGAGGTGGCAATATTAATATCATAAAAAGTAGGATTTAAGCTAAAAGGCACTAGTAAGGTTAAATAAACCTCGTACATTTTGTTTTATTTTTAGTCAGCCAACTGGGACAGGGATTCAAACTCTTGACCTTGGTGTGATAACACTGAGTTCTAACCAACTGAGCTAACCAGCCAGCCCCAAGCTAGTACTTTTTAAATGTGAGGAGTTTTCCCTTTCTCTCTCTCCCTTTATCTCATCCCTCCTTGGCTGGAGATTTTGCAGTTGCGTCCATCTAGCTTTATGACAGCATCCTGGGCTCCCACTCCCTAGAGAAAGAGGGTGCATTACGATGCACACCCATCCCCTGCCCACCCTGGCCTGCATGCTGCCAGTCTTCCCTGACTCCCAGTGCATTCCCAGTGTGTCTGTCTTTCTGCTTGCCAGTCACTGCTCTGTGTTTGCAGTGGAAGGAGTGAGATGAAATGCAACCAGTTGTCCCCTCTGCTCTCTCTGTCACACTCATTACCTTCTTAAACAAAATGTCCTCAGATGACCATAGGCTGTTCCTCCCTTCCCTGATTGCTCTCTCATGTCCTCCCTCTCCAAAACCCACTGTCAAATCCACTTTTCCAATGCTACCACTGAGGACATTTAAAAGAATATCCTTTAAGCTCTAAAGGCAAGTCTCAAAGACAGAGAGAAAGTCCCAAGCAAGGCAGCATTGTTGGAATAAGCAGATGGTTAGTCATTTGGATGTAGAAGTCTTGTGAGTGTTTACAAACAAATTAAATATGAACAAACAAAGAGCCAACAAGCACAAGACCTCAACATCCTTAGCCATCAGGGAAACGCAAATCAAAACCTCAATGAGATACCATCCAGCAGCGCCCCGCATGGCCATAATTAAAAAGACAGACAATAACAAGTGTTGGAGAAGATCAGCAAAATTGGAGCCCTCATGTATTGCTGGTGCTAATTTCAAATGGTACGGCCACTTTGGAACAAAATCTGATAGTTCCTCAAAAGGTTAAACATAGAATTACCATATCACTCAGGAATTCTACTGTTGCTAAGCATATACTCAAGAGAACTGAAAACATACGTCCACACAAAACGTTGAACGTGAATGTTCAAAGCAGCAGTATTCATGATAGCCCCAAAGTGGAAACAACCAAAATGTTCATCAGCTGATGAATGGAGAAATAAAACATGTATATCCATAAAATGGTATGAACCTGGAAAACGCTTTGCTAAGTGAGAGAAGTCACTCCCAGAAGGCCACATGGGTGATTCCATTTATATGAAACATCTAGAATAGGCAAATCCATAGAGACAGAAAGTAGATTAGTAGTTGCCTAGGAGTAGGGGGATCTGGGGGGAAATGGGGAGTGACCACTAAGGGGCATAGGGCTTCTTAACAGGATGATGACAGTATTCTAAAATGGATTGTGGTGACAGTTGCACAACACTGTGAGTATGCTGAAAAGAATTGAGTTGGCTGGTGTGTTATTAATAAATCCCAATAGTTTTGTTACATTAAAATAATAAAAATTTTAAAAATAAAATGGGATGCCTAAGAGATTTGAGGAGGGAAAAGAAGATTCTGTGTCCTGTTGCAATATCAAGGAAAACTGCCCTTGATGACAGTCAAGGGATGAAGTCCTCCCAGGAAGGACCCAGATTTCTTGCCTCCAGCCCCATGGGTGTGGTGAAGCTCTGGCTCTGGGCAGAGGAGGAGCATCCTGGGAATAGCTGGTGGTGTGTGGGTCTGAGCGGCCGGTCTGCACCTTGCCCAGCCCTTAGCCCCCATGAAGCCTTGACAAGAGATGAATCCAGCACTCACCTGTATGATCCAGACAGGACGAATCTCCAGTCTGAGATGATGAACTTCTCTTGGATTTGGCCAGCGAATTTCCTGCCTGATTTGGCACAGTACACCTCTCCTTCCACGCTCCGGATGGAAATGTTCTGTTGGAAGGAAAGTCAAGGTGTCACTTACCAATCCTGTGTTTACGGATACACATTTGGGTGATGGACTGAATGTTTGTGTCCCCTCCAAATTCATATGTTGAAACCTAACCCCCTACTGGGAAGTGGAGCCTTTGGGAGGTGATTAGCTCATGAGGGGACAGCCCTCACGGATGGGATTAGTGCCCTTGCAGAAGAGACCCCAGAGGGCTCCCTCGTTTCTTCTGCCACGTGAGGACACAGCAAGAAGGCATTTATGAACGAGGAAGTGAGCCTTCCTCAGCCGCTGAATCTGCCAGCACCTTGATCTTGGATCAGCTTCTTGTTGGGGCCAGAGCGTTCTAAAAATGCATTCAGCTGGCCCTGGGGGTTGCCTTGACCTGTGAGGTGTGTCCCCTGGGTTTCCCCAGCTGAGAGGAGAAAAGAAGTGGCAGAGATGCTGCTCCCCAGATAGCCATGGCCCCTTTACACTTCCCAGCCCCTATGCATCTAGGTGAGGTCAATGGGTTATGAGTAGAAGTGATGAAAATCTCTTCCAGGTCAGATACTAAAAACATTCTGCAGAATCCTCCAGCCTTCTCTTTCCCTGTCACTGCTATCTTGGAGGTCAGTGTTCCTTATAATGTAGGTACAAGACGGAGAAGGGCTCTCTGACCTACACAGGACTTTGTATGAGCAACAAATAAACCTTTATTGTGTTCAGCCATTGAGATCAGGGGGCATTTGTTACCACAGCATAGCCTATCCTATCCTGACTAATAAAATTTACCTTTAGAACTCTCACTGGGAGGGCCGGCCCGGTGGCGCACTGCTACAGTGCGCTGCTTGGGAGCGCGGTGGTGCTCCCACCGAGGGTTCGGATCCCACATACAGACTGGTTCCCGCTCACTGGTTGAGCGAGGTGTGGGCGCAACACCGAGGGTTGCGATCCCATTGCCGGTCCTGGTCCGGTAGGGGCGCGACACTGAGGGTTGCGATCCGTTGCCGGACACGAAAAAAAAAAAAAAAAGAACTCTCACTGGGACCCCTACCTTGAGGTGACTGTCGGAGATCTGGACTTTGCCCCTCATCTCCTGGAAGAGCTGCACACCTCCCTGGTCCAGAAGTACACAGATGAACACCCCGCGCTTGTTAGCTGCCTCTAGAATGTCACAGAAGATCTCCACATCTGTGAACACATCCATCAGGATGGCCAGGACCTGGGCCAGGGCAGAGGACTCAGTTACCAGAGAAGTCATGGCCAGATGCTAACTGATTTCAACCAAAATTCCCGAGTCCCGGGAGAGCTGTTCTCATTGCTGCTGCCCCAGAGGGGAGAGGATGGGGGAGGGGAGGGTCTGGCTTGGTGGGGTTCAAGGAAGGGAAAGGAAGAGCTGGAGCAGAGGCCCCTGCCCCTGTCCTGACCCCACCTCTCCAGCCCTACCACATATGCTTTGGCCCCTACGCCCTCAAGAGAAGAACACGCAGAGGCATCTGAGCAGGTTCAGAGGAGGGGAATAAACATAATGTCGTGGATCCTCAGCCATTTGGAGCTGGAAGGCACGCTATGGCCATCTCTGCCTCAAACAAAATCCCGCATGCAGGCACCATATATAAACTAGACCAGAGTGAGCGGCCCTGCAGGAGGGAGAAGGGAGTCCTGCTGTCCCTGCAGCTACTGCATCATCCGTCATAGCAGACGCTTGGGGATGGGTATCCTAGATATCCAGCAAACTGCAGAAGTCTGTGCTCCTGCCTGTCAGGCACCCATTCCTCCTCCTTCTGCCACCAGCACCCCAATCTCTCATTAAGGAATCAATGCAGCTTGGGCAGAGCTACTGCCATCCTCTGATTGGGTGTGGGGAGGGCACATGACCGAGGCCAGGCCAATGAGAGCGCTGCATCCCCTGCTGGACACAGGGATTGGTCCAGAGGTGGTCACATGATTTAAGTTCTAATGACAGTGCCCCCCGGGACTTTTGCTGGGACTCTTGGAAAGAGGAGGTGTCCTTTCTACCAGGGTTGCTTAGCTGGTAGTTTACAAGCTACAGCTGCTGGCATCCATCTTGCTTCCACTTGGGGAGAGCCTGCCTGAAAGTGAAGCCAGCCCTGGAGGAAGTGGGGCCAAGAGGTGAAGACGGGTTCCCAGCAGCATCGTTTGAACACCTGGTTTCAGTCACGCCTGGAGTCAGTTCTGCCCTTGACTTTTCCACCATGAATATCCACGAATATTGCTCTTCTTCTTAAGCTTGTTTAAGTTTACTTTCTGTCACCAAATCAAGAGTCCTTCCTAAA